TAATTTGATTCCCTCATTGTTCTTACCCAGCACTGGACCTGAACTTTCCCTGTTCCTAGGCATCAGTACACCTTGTTGTTGCAGGCCCTCCCTTTGTTTCACATGCATCCCACTCTGTGTCCAAAACCATTCTATTATTTCAGCACTAGTGGCCCAGTGCATGAAATTAGTATTGGGGGTGTCCCCTCAGCCCAGCCTGTACCCTCTCCAATCAGAGACCCCTTGAGGGATATCCAACTGCCAGGTTAGGCCCAATGTGGGATCAGGCCTAAACTGGCAGTTGGACATCCCTCTCGCAATCTCGGATCACTAGCTCTTAACCAGTCACCTGATTGCTCCTAACTGCCTCTGCCTTGGCCTCCACCACCATGGCTTTGTCTTGTAGGAAGTCAAATAACCAGAAGATGGCTGGTTGTCCTAGTCTTATTAGCATATTATCCTTTTATTAGTATAGATCAGTGATCGGGAAACTCATTAGTCAACAGAGCCAAATATCAACAATACAGGGATTGAAATTTCTTTTGAGAGCCAAATTTTTTTAATTTAAATTTCTTCTAATGGCTCTTCTTCAAAATAGACTCGCCCAGGCCATGGTAATTTGTGAGAGCCACATTTAAGGGGCCAAAGAGCCATATGTGGCTCATGAGCCGCAGTTTGCCAAGCACGGGTATAGATGGTTGGTTTCTGTGATTAGCTTACTCAAACTTCCCTGTCTGCCTGTGTTTCATCTGCCTTTGTTTTCTACTGGATCCCTGTCTGCCTGAATTTCAAGCTAACTTCTCTCACCTGGAGCCACTTGAGGATGTTGTGAAAATGAGGATACTGTTTCAGGAGTCTGGGGCAAGGCTCCAGAATCCGAATCTCTGACAAGCTCCCAGATGCTGCAGGTGCTGTTGGGCTGCAGACCATATTTGGGTCCCTTTCCCATAGGGTGGAGCTTTCTCAATGCCTGCTCCTGAGTCTGCATTAGTCTGCCGGGGCTGCCATAACAAAATAATACAGGTTGTGTGGCTTGGGCAAGGGGAGTTTATGTTCTTACAGTTCTGGGGACTACAAAGTCTAAGATCAAGTGTGTTAGTAGTAGGAAAATTTGGCAGGGGAAAACAGCTGTACTGCTTCACAACTGGCTGATCTTGGGCTACTTACCTATTTACCCTTTCTGAGTGTCTCATTTTAAAATCAGGGCAAAAATAGCTCTCTAAGGTGACATAATGATGTTGAGTATTAAACGCAGATCATGCATAGTAAGCCCTCAGTAAATATTAAATACTGGAATTTCTACTATTATTGTTAGTGCATAACAAGTCCTGGGGAGCAAGAGGGAATCATGCTAAAATGTGATGGACCTTCAAAAAGAACAAGCAATAAAAGTAATGGGCTATAAAAGATCAGGACAATAATAAAAGTAATCCTGGGTGCTTCTACAATATTCCAAGGGTTATATAGAGCTTTCACTTTCATGCCTTGACTTGATCCTCAAAATGACCTTGCAAAGAAGAAATTCTCTTCTTCACAAATGAGGAACAGAAGCTTAGAGGTGATCAGTGCCTTTCTGAATGACACAGAGTGGGGAAATGTCAGAATCCAGGGAGTCTAAATCCTACTCCAGGGTGGTGATACAGTGTAGTAATTAAGCAGCTCTTGAATCAGTCGGTTGGATTCAAATCTGAGAGGCACTGTTTATTACTGCTCTTAAGTCTTAATTTCTCCAATTGTTAAATAGGGATGATAATAACCATGATTACTTTGTAGTGTCTTGTAAAGACTGAACAAAATAATGTACATAAAACCAGAGATTAGTGGCTGGCACATGGTGAGTTTACTAATCCTGCATGCATTTTTTATTTTTAAAATTTCTTTATTGATTAAGGTATCACATATTTGTCCTCATCCCCCCATTCCCACCCCAAATCCCTCCCTATGTATCCCCCCACCCCCTGTTATCCGTGACCACTGGTTAGGCTCATATGCATGCACACAAGTCCTTTGGTTGATCTCTCCCCCTTACCCTCATCCTCCCCTACCTTCCCTCTGAGGTTTGACAGTCTGATCGATGCTTCCCTATCTCCAGGTCTGTTTTTGTTCATCAGTTTATGTTGTTCATTATTTCCCCTAGATGCATGAGATCATGTGATAATAGAAATACACTTATAAGAACCAAAAATGAGACAAGCAATAATGGTTATGCTGAAAGGCAAATGAATCAGTCTGCAGTGAGTTTCTTTCTGGGCCTACAGTTCTTTTGAGTCCCAATTTCAATGTCAAACATAAGGAACTGTTTGACATTGAGCATTTTGAAGTACAGTTCTTTGAGGGAACACTGGGCATCAATGTTACACAATAAGCAACCTAAGGTTAATCATAAAAGATGTAGGAGCTGTTATGAATAGTTTTTTGAGGGGTTGACTGGAATAGGAGGAGAGTGCTAGGATCACTACAGCTTCTAAGGAGGAGCAATGGGCTGGCACAACATGCTGTGACATATGAATTTATCCTCTATAACCATTTGAGTTCTCCGAAGCTCCAGTAAGGATCCAGTAAGGAGATTGGACAAACAAGGCAGAGTCTCAAATATCAGAATTGACAGTAAAAGTGGCAAATATATATATATATATATTTTCCTTTGATATTTGGCAATGACTAAATATCTGAATAAAGAGATTCTGGGTATGTATTTCATGGTAGCCAATATCCCACACAAGTATCCTGGAAATAACATACAATGCTGCAAACTTCTTAAGCACAGCATCCACTTTACTTAATTTTGTTGCCTTCTTTCCAACTAATTCCAAGGATAGACATGTAGAAGGATCAAATTGGACAGAGACACATTGGATAAGACTTAAGAACTAGATTGGCCCTACAAAATGTTCTGGGTATTGTGTAGGTCGAAGAGGGGTTGTATGTTACTTCCCAGATTATGAAGGAAGGATGGACAAACCTGTCCTGGATTCAGAGATGTCCTTTCTTCCTTGAGGCACCAGGATAAAATATAGGTTGTTGATAACTATGGGAGCTCTTAATGGGTTCTTCCTATGCATCCACAACCACTCTGAACAGTGTACGTATGTTGTTTCATGTCATCGTTTCCAACAGTTAATTGAAGTAGACACTATTTTCTCAACTTTAGAGATGAAAAAAGGGAAGTTAAATTATTAGTTCTTGGACATACAACTAATAACAGCTGGATTTGGGATTCTGACCAGGCTGTAGGACTCAAACCAACACAGAAAGCTAGTTTTAGAAATCATCAGATAGAAATAATGGGATTTAGAGCAGGGCAGTGATCACCTATAGACTAAAAGTTATGAGTGGTTTCTGGAAAGAATTGCTGTAGACTTAGAGATTCCTGTGTGTCAGGCATGGCCCTAAGCCCTTTACATCTATCAATTTCCTAAAATCCTCACAGCAAACCAATGGTATTATTAACAAATCATTATTATTCCATTGTTTCAGCTAATGTAAATAATTCTCACCAAGTCATCAAATTAGTAAGTAGCGGACTAGGATTTGAACCAAGGCAGTGGTGATGTCAGCCTTAAGCATGAACTAAAAGGAAAGGCAGAGGCCTCAGGAAGCCAAGTGAGTCCCAGGTTCACCTGGGGACAGGGAAAAGGACAAGAAAGTATCAGCTGAGACCTTGGAGTGAGGGGCAAGGTTTCAGCTGCTGCCAATTGTGTGTGGTGGTGGGAGAGAGTGTCAGCACAGGAAAGTGGATGATTTTGCAAACTCTTAGACGTGACTTCAAACCAAATAATGGCCATCAACTAAGCAACTTTGAGTAGGAAGGGGTTTTATTTCGGTTGCCTGAGAACTGGTCAACCTGACCTCCTTTCTCAGAAGAGGCTCTCTGCACTTAATTCATGTGGATACAGAAGTTGGCATTTTAAGTTTGGTTTTCCCCAGTAGTAACCATGATCACAAGTTGATAACCATGGGAGCTCTTAAAGAGTTTTTCCTATGTGTCAACAACCACTCTGAACAGCGTGCATATGTTGCTTCATGTCATTTTTTTGTTTGGAAGATTTGTTCCAATCTTCCCAAACACCTCTGGCCTGGGTTTGCTTCAAAGGGGAAATGGCACTGTGTGAGGAATGCCCATCTTGGCTGCTGGAGATTCTCAAAGGAAACCTTCCCAATGGATGCCCATCCTGACACCTCCCCATCTCCCGCACCCCCTTCTGGTCTGGGCCTTGCCGGGTGCACCTCCAAGTGAGGAGCCAGCGATTCCCAACTCCTAGCCAAGTGGCACGACTGGTTCTGGTTCCAGCAGCTTCAAGGGGAAAGTTTCCTGTCCAGGAGCTCCTGGCGACCTGCCCGGTTCCAGAGAAGGGCATCTCCTTGCGCTTGCCTTCTGGCATCCTACACACAGCAGCCCAACTTTGGGCAGCCACATCTCAGTCCCTTGTCGGAGGTAAGTCCCCAAGGGGATCCATAGCGAGCCCTTTGCTGAGGTTCAGGACCGGGACCTCAGGGCCTCCAGAGTCAGGCGCTGTGCGCAGCAGGTAGGGGTCCCAGAGCCGCCGCTGTAACCCGCTGGCAACTCTCAGAGGGGTCTCTGCTCGGCCCTAAGCCGCCTCCAGTCTCTTTAGGGTCTGGGTGCTCCGTCCCCAAAGCCGCCGTGCCAGCCCCTCATCCAGGTGCCAGGGCAGCAGGTGGCAGGGGTGGCGCCCAGCGGGAGAGGGGGGGGGGGCTCCTCACACTCTGCCTGTGGGAACCAGGCATCCGCTTGCCGCCTCGGCCGCCCTCCGCCTCCAGCCCCCGCCCGCGCGCGCGGCCCCGCCGCCCATCCCCGCGCAGCGCCCGCAGCGCCCCCCACCGGCCGCTGCCGCACCTGCAGCCCGCTCTGCGCTCCCAGCCTGCCGCCGCCGCCGCTCATCTCCAGCGCAACGGACGCCCCTGGGCTGCGCAGCCGGGTGCGCTCCGTGCCAGACCCGTTGGTAGACGCCCCGGAGCCGGGTGACCCTCGAGTCCCGCTCCTGCACCCAGCGACCCCAAAGATGAACGTGCGCAGGGTGGAGAGCATCTCGGCTCAGCTGGAGGAGGCGTGCTCCACAGGCGGTAGGATGCGCTGAGCATGCGAACGCGCCCCGCTTCCGTCCCTCCTCCCTTCTTCCCTCCCAGGCAGGCTGAGCCCCGGACCCCTTCCTAGGTGGAGACGCTTGGTGCCTTCTCTGCATGAGAGTCCCCTGAGCAGGACTGGGAAGGGGAGGCGGGCGCAGGGGAGCGGGGTGCGCGGGAGAGGGGGTGCACGCACGGTCCGGGTCCAGGAGGAAGAGATGTTTAAAGTGTGTGTGAAACTCGCCGGCGGCGGAGTCCCCGGCCATCCTGTACCTACTTTTGCCTTCTCTGAAAATGCCCCGTGTTGTGTATGCCTCTGCGGTGACTTCAGACCACACAGTGCTCTCCCCTCACACCTGGGGATAAGTGAGCAGACATCCTCTCCCTCCACCTTTCCTCTGTGCCCCCAAACGTTCCACTAAAACTGTTGCCTCCCCCTGGTGATTAGACAGGAGGATGCATTGGGTCAGATTCTTCAGAGTGAGCGCGGGTCTGGTTTGATTGCCAGGTGCAGTTGTGAGGGTTCAGAGACAAGGATCCTCAGTGACACCTGGAGATCATTATCATCCAGCCCAGCTTCCAGGAGAACCTGGGCACGCAGGTGCAGGTGCCGGGCGCTGGGCCTTCGGAGGGTCCTGCATTCTGTGCAAGCAGGGACAGGAAGCTCTGTGAGGAGTTCATAGTAAAATAGGGGGCCAGAAGCCTAGTCCCCCAACAGTGCATTGGGTTGAATCAGGTTGGTGTTAGGGAGCTTTGATGCCTGCAGTTTTTTGGAAGAGCCACAGAGTGAAGGTTGTTGTAGGGAGCAGGAGAGTAACCAAGGGCTGGATGGTTCCCACTTTATGTAAGATGAGGGGGTCACACACACTGCTACTTTGGGTTTACAGGATAAAAAACTTGGATGTGAGGGATGTAGAGTTGCAAGGAAAGGAGTATGCCCACATTCTACCTCCGGTTATTGTTCAGGGAAATGGAGTCACGACAACAAATTTGCGTCTATCACTCTAATTCAGACATTGAGACATGGACACGTTCCTTTCCTCCCCTTCCTTCCCCTCCAATAGTTAAGGTCACTGTAACTGGGAGGACACTATTCCTCTTTGAGGGTCACATTTGAAAGAGTCTTGACCCTCGATCCTGAAAAAGAAATTGATGACCATCACCTTTAAACTCCCATATATGACTCGTACTGATGTTTAGTTCTGGTTTCATTCGCGCCAACAGCCCCTGCTAATTGTAAACCAAGTTATGTCCTGGGTAGATCTTATGAGGAATGCTCATAATTCTTAAGAGATTGATTTTTTCCAGAATGGCGTAAGTGTAGAGGGCTGAGTAGCTGTTTAATTCACAGGGTCTCTGCCTTTGCAGTTCCTTTGATTAAGAATAGGGCAGAGAGCTACTTGTCCTTTTAGGAACTGCACTCATGTTCCAGGCAGAGATTGGAAACTCAAAGACAGGTGAGGTTGTAGGAATGTGAGTCAGAGTACAATGGGTGGCCTGTGTTGCCCAGCTGCTTGGTGATAACTCAGTTGGCCAGATGGAGATTGAATCAGCATGCCCAGTCCATTCACAGGGCCACAGGTGGCCATACTCTCTAGTTGTTAGATAAAATGAGAAAAATGAAACCTCATGTGGGGAGCATGACCCATTAGAAATACTTTTATTATATCTCTAGAATCAGTATGTGTTCACTGTTCGCTTGTAGAATGGAAACATGTTGATATATATCTTGGCCAACGTGAGACCCAAAATGAGTTTTCTGGCTTGAATTGATTTGACACCTGTTTCTTTAATTGTATTCACACGATTTTAGAATTCATTGTCATATTAGAAAAAGAATGAAAAAAAGTAACTTGGAGCATCTTATTGTTATTATTGTTTCAAGGTTAACATTAGATAATGATTCCCGAATATGTACTCTATATTATTTTCATCAAACATATGCTTTAGTACTTTGATTATTTGTGCTTAGAGATAGGGTGGTCTTTACTAAGCCTGGATAATAAGAAAAGATGGCCATTTATAAAGGTTTGTACTCTTCAGTTCTTGCTTTAAAACAATAACTTGTGATCTTATGTTTCCTTTCAAATAAATGGAACATTTTCATAAGTTTCATCATGACGAAAATAGTTTTTCCTTGACTATATCTCTCTTTGATGGCGTTTTATAAAATGACTTAATTGGAATTGAGACAAAATTTAGCTGGAGGATCAGAATGAGAGAAATATATGAAGATGAAACAGAAATTAGGAATTGGAGAAGTGGGTGTATTTATGCATATGCACACATGTCCATGTGGGTGCCCTTGAACATATGTGTATTTTATGACCTGACTCTAAAGGCAGAATACTGTGAAAATGGTTTTTTGGTAGACAAAGGAGGAGGAAAGCACAAGAGAAGGGAGAAATGGAGGAAAAATGGGCACAGGGTTGAGTTGACTTGCTAACATTTTATAATAATATAGCTTTAAAAAGTGCTCTTTTCAACAGGTAGTACATTTAATAGACTAACTGATCAACACCATTTATAAGTCACTGTAGTTGAAAAATTGTACATGCTACAGTGTACTGAAGATGGACACCTTGTAAATAAGTACATGCAAGTAGAAAGGGTTTCTTAGAAATTGCAGTGCTCAATTTTTCCCTGCCTCTCATCAGCTTCCAAATTAACCAAAAATCTGCCCAGAATATATTTTCCATGACATTGTTTATTCCCATTATTTTGCTCCCCTGCAATAGAATCTAACATAAGACAGCTACCACTGGAGAGACAGAGGGAACTGATAATTCAACAGTATATTTAAAAGAAAATCAGAAATAAGGTCAGAGGAAAAAACCCACAGAATTAGTCACTGGTGTCCTTAATCTGTGCCATCTAACTTAGGGATGGCAGATGCCCTGTGATGTCATCTACAAGTAAGAGTCGGGAGGGAGATGTGTGTTCAGTAGTTGTCCAAGGAGGTCATTGAAGGATGTGCCTGCTGATTGCCATTATCCCCTTTCCTGTCATTGGAATTGTGTGCTCCACCCAACAGTCTCACAGCCAGAACCATTTTTTAAGGGCACAGCCTTGAGAGAGCAATAGCCATTGAGACCATTTGGATGGTATACATAACTGAACCTAGGGAAGATTCTGGTGGGTGGGGTCAGAGATCTACTTGTCTCATGGCCACTCAAGGCAAGCCTTCTTGCATCTTAAGCCTGCCACCTAAAGTCTGGGTGGCCTGCCCTTTTCTTCACTCTCTGCTTGCCCTCCTTGTATAGGGACCAGTTTCAAATTTCACCTGAGAAGCTCCTGTGTTGGGGAATCAACAATAGAGCAAAAGGGCCCTTCAATTTTGAATTGTTGTCTGCTGGATGTCTTGAGGCCCTAGCTTATGTTTTGTGTTTATTAAGGATAAGGCAAACTGAAACTAGTAATTCCACAAGGGTAGAGGTGAAAAGTCTGTTTACTCCGAACCCAAGAGAAGTGTTTTATTGCACAAGGCATTACTCTCTTTCTTTCTGTGGTTTAATGTGAGAAGGTGCTAAACAGATGATAAGATGGGTGTTAAAATTCAGAAATTCTCTCCTTGCTATACTTTTTTTTTTGGAGGGGGGGGAAGGAATGCTAATGCAGTTTCAAAAAATAAGTTTATGGGTGGTTTTGAAATTAATGAGCCACGTTATATAAAATTTGTGTGTGAGATTTCAGTGATATTGTGGACCAGAGAGTAGTTGAATCTTTTGAGGATATATTTCTGGCTTTAAACTATATGGGCCCTCTTGTTTGCTTGTTTATTGTTGTTTTTTGTCTGTTTATTTGCTTTCCTTATCCCCACTGGTCTTCTGAACCATGTGGATAATATTGCTTTTCAATATTTCATAGCAGAGTATGCTTGCTTACTGACTAGCCTCCCTTCTTAGGGACTATTTCAAGCAGATTAAAGTGGTTTTGTTTGTTTGTTTGTTTGTTTTTTGGGGAAGGGGGTTAGCTTGAAGCAGGAAGAATGAGTGTTTAATTTGTTCAATGGGCCTTCACCATCCTTAACAATGTTTTAAGGTTATATAACTTCACCTGTCATTACAAGTTTATTCACCCTGGCCCATGATTCACCTACTTCTGTTTTTAAGAAAATGTTTTATTTGGTTAAACATCCTGATGGTCTTTCCTCAATTCACATTGCCTGAATGCACGTGATGCTTCATGCTGTTTATCAACACCCCTTGGCAGACTGTGAACTCTGAGAGCAGAGCTGTTGTGCTTTGCTCATTACTGTATCCCCGGCACCTAGATCTAGTCTGACATGTAACTTCAGCTCAACAACAGATATTTGTTGAATGAGTGGACTCTCCTCACTTGTATTCAGTGACTGGCTTATTCTGTTTCCTCCTATTCATCTCAGATCACTTTCCTGACCCTTCTTTCTTTCTTGTTCCAGCTTGTGCAACTTTTTACCAAGTTCTATCTTATTTTCCTTCTCTTTCTGAACATCCTCTCTAATCAAGCTGTAGTTCTGATTCATGTTACCTTGATGCCGAGGTCTCTTGATTCTAGAGTTCTGGTCCCATCCCTTCCCAAAATACCAGATGGACATGTCCATGCCTTGTTGGTCAGATCCATCAACAAGTTTTATCAGCGCTCTAGAGTCAGGATGTCAGGAAAGGCATATTGTCTCTTTTAAGAACACTTTATTGTCCAAATTGGGCTAATGGTGCTGTTATTCTTGAGGCATGCAGTTAAAAAATAAAGCAAAATTTTTCCTTTCCCCATGGTACTCCCCACCTTCGTCATTTATGCCTATTCCATGTGGAATAAGTCATCACAACTTACAGATTCTCTCTAGCTTTTATGTCTAGATCCTCCTCCAGTTCCTATTGTACTGGTATTACTCAAGGTTATATGCTTATCCCTTACCAGGCCATCCTGGCCTATTGGCATGAAGTGCCTCTCCTCACTCACAATCAAATACACTTACTAAAACCTGGTTTGAGTTAGGCTGATTTCCGGTGAAAAAATTA